TTCGGATTTTGTTGAGATTTTTTTTAAAATTTTAAAAATAATTGAATTTTGTGATAAGAATTTTATTACTTTTGAAAATAATTGAATTTCTGCGATCATTTGTAACTTCTTCAAAATTCAATTTTTTAGTGTTTTTAACTAAATTTCTTCTATGAGTCCATTATTTTCAATAAAATTAATTAAATATATATTGACAAATTTAACTAATTTTAGAAGATTTGTTCATTAAAATTTCTAATTAAATTCATTCAACATTGAAATTTTATAAAAATTCAAATTGAAACCGTTTGAAGTTCATTTATTTATGAAAATTGTAAACGCAACTCTTTTAAAATTGAATTAATTTTGAAATATTTAAGTAAAATTGTTCATTAAATAATTTATTTATTTTATGATAGTTGTTCAAGATTTAAGTTATTTGAAAAGAAATTTTTTGTCAGAACTTGAAAAAATTGAAGGTCGTAATTTCTTAATTTACGAGTCAAACAAAAAAGACACAAAAATTCAGAATTTTCTTATGAATTCTAAGAATTAAATTTTTTGAGATCTTTTAATAAAAATTCCTGACTTTTTCCTGAATTCCCTGAGTAAGAATATATGATTATTATAATTATAATAATATTAAAAGTCTAGATATATTCCAATTCACATATTTTATTTTTATAAAAAAAAATTTGAATTACACATTTTTACGTTCTATTATTATTATTTTTTAAATTGCTAATTTTATTTTTGAAAAAGTGTGTGAGAAGTCAGCCATATTTGTTGCTAGTTAGTAAATTAATAAACTATCTCATAAGCAAAAAAAAAATTCTCTCTATAAATTATAAAAGTTTAAATTAATTTGAAACAAAAAATTAAATATTTTCCGATTTATAAGGAGAAATTGAATTAAATTTGATCAAATAAAATTAATTGAAGTGAATAAAAATTTAAACTCATTCAAATTTAAAGAGTATTAAAAAAAGAGTATATTATACGAAATGTGGAGAGAAGAAAAGAGAAAAAAAAAATATCCCACTATTATTATTATAGATAATTTAAATTTTTAAGTGTGAAATAGAATTTTCGGAAATTCGGGATATAAAATAAAAATATATTATAATAAGGGAAGTCCGGCAGTAATCTCGTGTCCTACTTTTGCTTTATTCAAACATTCTAAATTCAATGGTACATGAGCTCAAGTCAGATTTGAAAGTAGATAGTAAACGGACCGAAAGGTTTAATTTTGGCTCGAAAGACATTCTCTATTTCAAACTCGAGGTGTACGTATGTCTGGATTAAAGGATCATATTTGTGAGATTATATACATGTGATTATTCCATATATGCGAATGAGTGAATACATGCCTTTGTCAATCTATATCTATATATATGTACGACTCACTCTAGTTAAGCTCTCTTGAAATTGCAAAAAGTAATTTGTGAATCATTCGAATTTTTATTCTCTTAATAAATATACATATATGTATATATATATAGAGAGAGAAATTTTTAATTCACAAAAGCAAAATAAAGAGCTTCTTTTTATAATATCGCAAGAGTGAAAAAGGGAATTTTTGAGTTATTTAACTTGATGTAGGAGAATTATCATCAACTTTCTTTTCTGATAAAAAGAAGGCTATATCTATTTGGTTCATTTGCAAATGAGTTTGTTCTAGTTAACACTTGAAAGGAATCTTATTCACTAGAATCAGGAAAAAATTTCACCCTCACTTTTTTTTTTGCTATTTTACTTTAGGTTAATTGGATTTTCTATTTTTGAAAATGAGGGGAAAAAAAAGTTTTATTTTCAAGGAGAAAAAGGATAAGAAAATTGGAATTGAAATTTGAAAATTTAGTTTTTAAATGGTTTCTTCATTTGACTGAATTAGTTTTAGTGAACTGGTGTTACTTAATTTGCTCTTTAGCATGAAATTACTTTTAATTAAATTTTTATTAATAATATTATTGATATTTTATTATTATTATTATTGATATATTATTATTGATATTTTATTATTTGTATATTATTATTCGTATATTACTATTGGTATTGATAAATTATTATTAATATCATTTATACTCCAAATAAATATTTAATCGTCATTTCAGCAAACAAGTGAAAAATGTCACTCAAAACCAAATTGCAAAACCAATTTAAAAATGAGAGACGAAAATTTTTTATTTTTAAAAAGAGGAAAGAAAAAAAATTGGAATTGAAATTTGAAAATTTAATTTCAAAATGATTATTTCATTATTTTCATTTGGTTGAATAATTTTTATTGAAATTATATTGTTAACTCCATTTTGTTATTTAGTTGAAATGACTTTTAATTATTATTATTATTAGTATTGATATATTATTACTATATTTTCTATTCACAAAATAAAATTGATAAAAAAATATATTTTTGATATTTTATTTATTGATAGGTATATTTTTGTTTTTTTTCGCAAATAAAAATTGATAATAAAAAATAACGATATATTATTATTATTATTATTATTATTATTATTATTATTATTATTATTATTATTATTTATATTTATTATATTTTTTTTATTTGCATTTGGCAAAATTTGGAAAATATATTATTGTCAATGTATGATTATTATAGATAATCGAAATAGAAATTTAATCGGCCTTTAAGCGAACCGGTGATAAATTTCACTTGAAAGTAAATTGCCAGTAAATAGTGTTTTACTTTTAAGCGAATTTTTTATTTTATTTAACAAAATTTACTTATGGAGAAATTCGGTGAAATGGCTTTGCGGTTAAGTGGTAATCTGCTTTTAATGGAAATTCAATTAAATGGCCAATTCGGTTAAGTAAAAGTTTGGTTAAGTAAGAATTCAGTTGAATTTAAATTTCATTAAATAAAAATTTGGTGGAACTTTTTATTAAATGGGAAATTTTTTATACAAATAGAGAACTATATAAATAAAAAATAATATTTTAGTTAAATAAATTTTCGAATAAAATCTGCATTAATAATAACAGTTGCTTTTTTGTTTCCAAATTTTTTTTGCATAATTTTTTTAATGTTTTGAATTTAAAAATTAATGAAATTCTAATGTAATGTTTTGATGATTACTTAAATAATAGCAAAAGTTAATTAAACAAAATCGTTTTAATTTAATTTCTTTCTTCTTTTTCAATTGTTTTAATTCCTTATTGTAAATTTCTGAAAATAATTGAATTATTACGAAGAATTATAATAAAATTTTTGAAAATAATTAAAATCCTGAGAAGAATTCAATTAAAGTTATTGAAAATAATTGAATTGTTTTAAAGGATTTTATTAAATTTTTTTATTAAATTTATTAAAAACAATTGGAATCCTGAAGATAAATTTATTATTTATAAAATTAATTGAATTTTTTCGAAGAATTCTATGAAAAATTTTTGAAAATAATTGAATTCTTTCGAAAAATTTGATTAAAATGATATGGAAAATAATTGAAATTCTGAAAAGAATTTTTTCATTAAGAAAAGTAATTGACTTTCTTCTTTTTTTAAAAAAATTTTAACTTCTTATTAAAATTTTTGAAAATAAATGAAATCCTGCAAAGAATTTTATTGCTTACTAAAATAAATTCTTTCAAAGAATTTCATTAAAAATCCAGACAATAATGAAAATTAATTAATTGAATTGTTTTGTAGGATTTTATTAAATTTTTTGAAATAAGTAATTAAAATTCTTCGAATCATTTTTTATTATTTATGATAAAAATTGAATTTTTTTTCTTTTTGAATTGTCTTAGTTTCTTTTTAAAATTTTTGTAAATAATTTAAATCCTGCGAAGAACTTTATTATTTTTTAATATAAATTTTTTCAAAGAATTTTATTAAAAATCTAGGAATGTTTGGAAGAATTTTATTATAATTTTAATTTTAATATTTATAAAAATAATTAAAATGCTTCGAAGAATTTTATTACAATTCTCGATAATAATTGAATTGTTTCGAAGAATTTTATGAAAATTTTTGTAAATAATTGAAATTCTTTAAATAATTTTTTATTATTTATAAAAATAATTGAATTTATTCTTTTTTAATTGTTTTAATTTCTTATTGAAAATTTCTGAAGGTAATTGAATTGTTTCGAAGAATCATACTAATATTTTTAAAAATAATTGAAATCATAAAAAGAATTCAATTATTTTTTAAAATAAATTCTTTTAAATAATTTTATGAAAAATACTTGACAATAATTGAAATACTTCAATTAAAGTTATTGGAAATAATTGAATTGTTTTGAAGGATTTTATTAAATTTATTAAAAATAATTTAAATCCTGAACATAATTTTATTATTTAAAAAAATAATTGAATTATTTCGAAGAATTCGATGACAATTTTTAAAAATAATTGAATTCTTTCAAAAAATTTAATTAAAATTGTATGGAAAATATTTGAAATTCTGCGAAGAATTTTTCATTAAGAAAAGTAATTGATTTTCTTCTTTTTTTTTAAAAAAAATTTTAACTTCTTATTAAAATTTTTGAAAATAAATGAAATCCTGCGAAGAATTTTATTACTTATTAAAACAAATTCTTTCAAATAATTTCATTAAAAACCCAGACAATAATGAAAATGTTTAGAAGAATTTTATTACAATTTTATTACTTATAAAAATAATTGAATTTCTTTTTGAATTGTTTTAGTTACTTTTTAAAATTTTTGAAAATAATTGTAATCCTGCGAAGAACTTTATTACTTTTTAAAATAAATTCTTTCTTTCAATGAATAGATAAAAATAAGTTAATAATAATAACTGTTTAAATAATTAATTTTAATTTAATTAAGTCAAGTAATTAATTAATTAATTTAATTAGGCGCGCATTTACATTATTTTCAATATTGAAAAAAATTTTAAAAATTCTTTCAATTTTGTAAAAAATAATAATTATTATAAGTAAAGAAATTTTCTGTTTTGTTAAAAAAATTCACAGACTGACAATTTTTTTTTCGTCAAGAATTGAGAATATTGTTTTGATAATTTTTTTTTTTTTGTAGGTCAATTGGATCAAGAGAAAAAAGACACACGAATTGCTAACTGTTGGTTTGACAACTTACGCTAGCGACGAACGTTTTCAAGCGATTCACTTTCATCACAGTGAAGATTGGACCCTTCAAATCAAGTACGTTCAACAAAGGGATGCTGGAATGTACGAGTGCCAAGTATCCACCCATCCACCCACCAGTATATTTCTATTTCTCGAAGTTGTCGGTAAGCATGATTAACTATTTTGAATACGAGTATTGTCCTCATTGTCATTGAATCGATCACACAACTTGTATATAATGTTATTTTAGTAATGGAAAACTCTCTCTACTATATATACAAGACTCACAAAACTATTCATGTTTTCTCTTTAACATAAAGCAATTGCTTGCATATATATATATATCTATATAGAGTTATAAAATGCAGGAAATTATTTTTTTTTTCTCGTCATAAAAATAATATCAAATGTTAAAAGAAGGAGGAAGGGATATATAGATGTTGAGGAGCGTCTGAAAATATTTTCAGTTTAATAAAGCTGAAAAGTTTTCTCAATTCCGATTGAAAAGTTTCTTCGTCTCTGTTTTTGTTTTATAATAATAATCACTGGATAACGGAAGGAAAATAAGTTTTACTTTTAAATTTACAATTTATTTATTACTATTATGTGGAGGAATTGTTGTTTTTATCAATTAATTAAACATTGTGTGATTTAAAACAATTTTTCTATGAAAATTAATTTTAAATTCAATATTAACTCTTTTAGGGGGGAAAATGGATTAAAATGTGGGAAAAATGTGTTGGACTGCATAATTTTTGGTATAATTTAAACCTTAAATATCATTGAATTTAATAATTATTTTAATTAATTGATAGAATTATTTTAAAATTAAAAGAAATATTTTAATTATTTTCTATATTGCAATATTACTTTTAATTATTTATAATTTTATATTAAATTTTCTCAGAATTGAAAATAATTGATAACGAAATAATAATGACTTTATACTAATTATTTATTGGAATTTTGTAATATAAAATTACGTATAAAATGAAAAGAATTCTTCTTTATTTAGAATACCGAAATAATTGTGTGTTTATACAAAAGATATTCATAATTATTTTGAAATAATTATTGTATTATTTATTATTATTATTATTTGTTAATATATGTATAATAATTATTATATTCATTTAAATTAATTTACAAAAATAATTATTTCAATTTTGAAAATAATTAACTATTCTATTGTAAATAATCCATGCCTTTAGGCTTCGAACGAGACAATTATTATATCTACCCATTTAAATTAGTAGATGAAATTATTAATCGAATTTGGGAAAACAATTGAAACAGTCGAGAACAATTATTTCAGTTATTTTAAATAATTATAATAGTTATATAATATAAAATATAATATATATAATAGTTATTATAAATAGTTATTTTAATTGTTGTAAATAGTAAATTTCAAAGGACTCATTTTCAATTCTAGTTTATGAATAATAATAATTTATTTGTTTGCACTTTTGTTCGTATTTTATTTAGTTGAGGAGAAAAAGGTAAAATATTTGAAAAATTTGCAACGAGGAAAAATGAAAAATTCGAAAAAAAGAGAAAAATTCGAAACAAAAAAATAAATATTGTAATAATGAAAAGTTACTTCGATAGCAACAACTGCAAAAAATTCCTATTAAATTATTATAGTTTTAAGAATTTTTGATTTTTTGAGATAAAATAGAAATAGTGTGAAAATATTATTACAGAAATAAATTTAAATTATTCTAAATTCATTACTAAAATATAGAGGTCAGTTATTTTTAATCAACAAAAAAGGAATATTTTTTTCAACTACGCAGAAATATGAAAAAAAATAGAGATAATGAAAAAAAGTTAATTGAATAGATTTTGATGATTGTTAGTGTGTAACGCATGAAGCTCATCGCTATATGGTTTTATTCAACGGTTTACGATAGGTAGAGAAAGAGTTGTTTATATCCTATAAAAAAAATTTAATTGATGCGGGAGAAACTTCCGAAAAATACGTTAAAAAAACACCGCGGTGGACTATTAACTATTGTTAATCTAGTGAAATTGGCTTTTAATTAAATATCATTTAAAAAAAAAGTCAGTTTCTCTCGATGCAACAATAGCGCGAGAAAAATATACTCTGTAATTAACCTGGTGAATTGTAGAGTTTTACTTTCATTTAAATAAATGGGAATTTTTTTGTGGTCGCTGATTTTAACTTTGATCTTATTTTTTTTTTCTTTTTGCAAAATTCAAAATGTCGAATTGGATATTGGAAACGTTGAAAATAGCATTTAAGGAAATATTGGAAATTAGTTCATTTTAAATTTTTTACTTGAACTTTTTTTTTGGGTTTTCTGAACACGAGTTAAAAATTTGTTTTTTGAGATTTTAAATCATTTTTATAAAGAGCAAAACCGAAAGTTTTGTGGAAATTTTAATTTTATTTTAACTTTTTTAACTCGTACAACTTTTTAGCTACTATTTTTATAAATAACCTACTAATGTTGGTTATTTAGTAATACCTACAAAATATAAAAAACCTACTTAAAAGTTATTTCGTTAAAAAAAGTCATTCCTTAAAGCGAGATTTTATAAATAAATAAAATTAAATAAATAAGTAAATAAATAAATAATAAATGAGAGAAATATTAATACACTTTTAATATTTAATATTAAAAAAAATATCTGCGCAACATAGGAGAAAGAATTGCATAAGAATTTTGTCCTTAGTTTTAAATTATATTTTAAAAATAAAAATATTTTTCAGGTCTTCAATTTTCAAGAAATTTATTTTTCGTTTTGTGATTAAACTCTAAAAATAAAATTCATGCAATGTTTCTTAAAATACCGTTTCCTGGATAAATTATTTAAAGTTAATTTGAGAATTTTGTTTTTTTGAGTTAACACACTAGAAGGGAAATAATCAATTAAAAAAGAAAGAAGAGAGTTTTTTCTCTCTCTCTCTCTTTGCTTCTATAAATTATAAATTTTTATATTTAGATAAGATATAATTTCATACTTTTTCCATTAAATTTAATTTCGATTAGAAATCTTTTATTAAATTAATAAGATATTTTTTCCTCTATATGGAATATAGTTTTTTTTTTCTTTTTTGTTGTAAAATTGAACTTATTGAAAATAGTTTTTTTTTCTTTTATTCTTTAAAATTAAAAAGAAAACTAATTTATAATTTTTTTTCTTTGTTGTTGTAATATTGAGAAAAAAATTAATTTTTTCCTTTTCTGTTGTAAAATTGAAAAGGAAAATTGAACTTTATTTAAAATTGTTTTTTATTTTTTGTTGTAACATTGAAAGGAAAAATTGAAATCATTTAAAATGGATTTTTTTTTTTTGTTGAATCTTTCAAAAGAAAAATTAAACTTATTTAAAATGGTTTTTTTCTTTTTTTTTTTTTTGCAAAAATTGAAAAGAAAACTAGAACTTTATTGAAAATAGTTTTTTCCTCTTTTTCTCTGTAAAATTGAAAAAAAAATTTGATTTAAAAAATTTTTTTCTTTGCAGTAATATTGAAAAGAAAAATTAAACTTTATTGAAAAATTTTTTTTTTCGTTTTTTCTGTAAAATTGAAAAAAAATGTAATTTATAAAACTTTTTTTCTTTGTTATAATATTGGAAAGAAAAAGTGGAACTTACTAACAATAGTTTTTCTCTTTTCGGTTGTAAAATGGAAAAGAAAAATTAAACTTTATTAAAAATAGTTTTTTTTTCCTTTTTTTTGTAAAATAGAAAATTGTTTTTTTCTTTTTTGTTGTAACATTAAAAGGAAAAATTGAACTCATTTAAAATGAATTTTTTCTTTTCTATTGTAACATTGAAAAGAAAAATTGAACTTATTTAAAATGGTTTTTTTTGTTGTTGCAAAAATTGAAAAGAAAACTAGAACTTTATTGAAAATAGTTTTTTTTTCTGTTTTGTTCTAAAATTGAAAATAAAAACTTACTTTACTAAAAATAGTTTTTTCCTCTTTTGTTGAAAATTGAATTGAAATTGAAAAGAAATTTAAAGTTAATAGAAATACTTTTCTTTTCCTTTTTTTTTTTGTTGTAAAATTGAAAAGAAAAAATTTTCCCTCATTAAAAATAATTTTTTTTCAATTTTTTTCCTTGAAAACTCTTAAGCCGTGGCAATAATTTGTTGGTCCATGTCTCTTGACAAATTTCATTTGTCTCGAATGGACTGACGTATTTCTCAGCTGAGGTTGTAATTTTCTTCATCACAACTGGACGGTCACTGTCTTTCATGGGTTAAAAACGATTTTAAACGGCTCTAAATTTCGCTCTGCTCCTGACACTTGGCGGATCTTTCTTGCGCAAAATTACTTTTATCTCATATAAAGCACATCTTCCGATTTACTATGAAAAACCTTTTCTTCTTTTCTTTTTTTTTCATCAAACTTCTATATCATTTATTACTTATCTTAATTCTTTTTATCGTCACAATTTTTCGAGTCGAGGAAATTAAATTTTAACTTTAACCCAGAAATTATTTATAAAAAAATAATTAAAATCTAGTAAATATTTGTTATAAAAATTTTATACCGTTAAAAAATTTTTTTCTATAGCGTATTTTTCGAATTTGAAGAAATAATTTTTGTTCCGGAAATTAAATCAATAAATTTTTACTGTTTGTAAAAAGTAATAATAATTATAAAATCACAATAAAAATTAAAAATAAATTAATATTAATAATTAAATTATATATTATTTATGTCAAAATATATTTTTATTATAATTTCTAATTTTCCTTTATCAAAGCTTCTGTTATTTATTTACTTGTTTGAATTCTTTCTATCATCACATTCACGATTTTTATTGAAACAAGAAAATTAAATTTTAATCCAGAAACAGAAATTTATTTATTGAAAAAAATGAATAGTAAATTTTAATTTTGTAAATTGTAAGACAGTAATTTTTTTACAAGAAAAAAATTTTTTATTTATTTTCTTATTTTGATTTAATTATTTGATTATTATTTTTACTAGGTACTTTTAACAAACAGTAAAATTTTATTTATTTAATTTCCGGAACAAAAGTTATTTCTTTAAATTCAAAAAATAAGCCAAAGAAAAAATGAATTCTTGAAGTATGAAATTTTTTCAAGAATTTGCAGTTTATTAAAATGTCAAGGAGGTTGACAACTTTTTTGATTTTATTGTGAATATATTCACTTG